AACAAGTAAATTTTATGAGTCCATAAAATGGAATTGAATGCCGTCTTAGGGGCCCGACTACGCAATCGATATTGATCACTGCCATACAACATTACAAACTCGCGTGGTTCTGCCTTTCAGGTCAGGCTTGTTGTAAGTTGTAAGTCTCCACGACAGTGCTCTGTGATCACTTAAACGTACTTGTTTTGTTTTATGTTCGTATGGACAGTGACGTTCAGCAACCCTATGCCAAGGTCTGGTGTAAGATATTCGGTCACGTAAATTAGTTTAGCGCGGCCCTCCTATAAAGTTATAATAAAGTAAACATTGAACGGGACAAAAGAGAAGATACATGAAAATAAAGCGGTAGTAAAATAAATGAAAAGATTCAAATTATCTTGTATTTTTAATTGTTTCTTTATTACGTCTGCAATATCATGAGAAAATTAGACCCTGACAAAAAAAAATAAATAACGGCTGAAAACATATTAAATAAATCCATGGGAGAGAAAAGTTCTCCGGAAAATATACGGACCAACATGGAGAACTGCAACCAGGAATTATATAGTCTATATCAGGACGCTAGAAGCAGAAGTACAAAAGACGGGCTACGCTGGGCGGGACACTAAGAAAGAATGCCAAATGACAGAGGAGTGAAGAGGGTACACCATCAAAACCCTAGAGGAAAACGGCTTAAAAGCAAACCTAGGCTTAGATGGATGGATGATCTGGAAAGATATCTACAGCAGCTGACAGGAGCAACTAACCTAGCGCTGGGAAGAACCAGATTTAAGATTATCTCGTTTTTGTCATTAAAAGTAAAAATCAGTTTTTATTTTTAGTTTGCTTTTACAGGCGCGTTTTTGAGTAGCTATCTCATTACAGGCCTGCACAACTCAACATGTAAGGCGGGACGTAATACTCTACAGAAAAAACAACTTGTGCAGGCCGAAAGAAAATAGGAAAATAGGGGTGGGGGGGGGGGAAGCTTCTAAGAAAACAATAATAATAATAAAGAATATTTCGTTACTTTGCGCGCCGCAAAGTGGGTGCTGGCTGGTTGCATTCGGCCCGCGGGCTGTATGTTGTTCATGCCTGAATTCTAGTTAATGGAAATCTCTTGTTCCTTGGCCTTCACCGTCATCTAATAAATACACTTCTTGTGACGTTTGTCTGTATGTATACAATCGTGGGGCTCAATTTGATGGTCAAACGGTTAAGCCTAACCGTCATGTGTTTACATGTTTGTTATGTTGGTAAATATGAATGTGATGCGGTTATATAAGATTGTCACATGGTTACACATGATTATCATGTGGTTACATATTGATGTCTAGTAGATTAGATGGACTTAGTTGTTGCGTGTTTATACTTAATGTCATGCGGCTGTACTTGATTGTCATATAGTTAAACCTGACTGGCATGCGGTTGTACTAGATTGTCATATAGTTAAACCTGACTGTCATGTGGTTGTACTTGATTGTCATATAGTTAAACCTTACTGTCATGCAGTTGTGCTTCATTGTCATGTAGTTAAACCTGACTGTCATGTGGTTGTACTTGATTGTCATATAGTTAAACCTGACTGGCATGCGGTTGTACTAGATTGTCATATAGTTAAACCTGACTGTCATGCGGTTGTACCTGATTGTCATATAGTTAAACCTGACTGTCATGCTGTTGTATCTGATTGTCATATAGTTAAACCCGACTGTCATTCGGTTGTACTAGATTGTCATATAGTTAAACCTGACTGTCATGTGGTTTTACTTGATTGTCATATAGTTAAACCTGACTGTCATGCGGTTGTACTTGATTTTCATATAGTTAAACCTGACTGTCATGCTGTTGTACCTGATTGTCATATAGTTAAACCCGACTGTCATTCGGTTGTACTAGATTGTCATATAGTTAAACCTGACTGGCATGCGGTTGTACTAGATTGTCATATAGTTAAACCTGACTGTCATGCGGTTGTACCTGATTGTCATATAGTTAAACCTGACTGTCATGCGGTTGTAATTGATTGTCAAGTGATGGTGACAGATTATCACATGATTAGTTTTTTATGTGATTTACATCACATGACTAAAATCATAAGTCATGACAGCGAGAGTCGATTCTCCGATTTATGTATCTCTTAAAGCAATTCATATAATGATAGAAATGACAATTAAGGCTCTATACTTAGCACAGCAAAACAACCCAAGTAAAAATTACCATTTATTTTGTTTTCAACTCAAAATATCACCAGTTGTATCGATCAAAGAATGCATTCAACCCCAAAATATCACCAATTGTATAGATGTATGAATGCATTCAACCCCAAAATGTCACCAATTGTATAGATGTATGAATGCATTCAACCCCAAAATGTCACCAATTGTATAGATGTATGAATGCATTTACCGGAGTGAAAATATTTAACGTCCAAGATTCAATATAAGACAGATTTATTGAAAAGGATTTTTTTTTACACATAAATTTAATGAAAAATAAAATTCTCTTTTAGTTAAAAAAAACAAACAAAAAACAAGTGACCAGTAACGATAACAAGCAACAGTGTCATGACATTGCCAGAAATACTTTTGGCACTCACCCACGCCTTGTGCCACTGACACAGAGAACCATTCATAATAAAGGAAGACTGAATTTAGGACAAGTCGGTGATGCTACATGAAGAAATGAAATGTCCAGGTCTCAAAATAATGTTATAGTTATAAATCTTTGACCTGTTATTTTAATGTCAAGTAGTTAATAGCATTCACCGATGACCGGAGACCGCGATAGTGGAATTTGTACTTCTCCGAAATGACCCATTGCCAAACTTTAATAGCATGTACAGGTTTTTAATAAATTATCCATAGGTCGATGTCTTAATGTGGTGTTTTATGGTCCCGTAAGACATACCATACGCTGACAATAAATTCATTTATAATTATTTGTTACGCTAAACTTTTTGAGCGAAAAGTTTTATGATCTCACTTATTTTTTTCGGTAACCTATTGAATATTTGAAGCAACGGGCCGAGAATAACGCGGCACGTGTTGAATACCGTGTTTCTCCATTGAAAGTTATGCAAACGATTGTATTTCTTTTGTGCAGCGTGGTTTGTAAAGGTGAACATTGACAACAACAAAATATGTTATTTGCTTTCGATAAACAAATTGATTTGTGAACGAAATAAATATAGGATATATGGTAGTGTAAAAATATAAGAGGAATATGAAATATGGTTTTAAAACAATGTTTCCTCTATTTTCTATTATACCCAGCATCAGATGACCCATACCTATGGATGCAGGTTTACTTAAAAACTTTCAATATAGGCTAAGCTATAAAGGTATGCTAAGCACATTTAGTATAAAGAATTCCGAAAAGAACTAATACCTGAATGTCGTGTACTTAAGACTTAAGTGAATCAAAACATGGAGCCAAAAATATTTTCAGCTTTAGTTCACACTTTAAATAATTTAAAATGAGAGTAAAAATATGTTCCTATCTTTGTCTGAATCTTATGTCCATCCGAGAGTTAAAATAAGCAGACAGTCAAGGCAAGACGACAGTTAAAACAAGTTGACATTTAAGGCACGCTGACAGTTAAGATAATCCGACAGTTAAGCTAGCAGAGAGTTAAGACCAGTCGCAACTGTTATGACAAAAAATGACTAGCACGCAATCAATCGTCATGGTAACTTTATTCTCGAATCAAAAGTTTCTAGAAAAGAGCTGAGTCATCGAAAATGCTAGCAGCGTCCTTATCAAGTTGTGGTAAAGTAGACTTATTTAAAAAAAACAAAAAAACAAGAATTGTTGGATTAGAAAAACCAATTACGCATTTAGTCCGCCCAGTCTCACATCTCTGGAGATTACCGATCACCTGTTGTACCGCACACATACTTGATGATATCTGTAGCACCCCATTGTAGTACTTTTAGAAACGTCCACAGCAGTCACGTGGGCCCTGCAACCGCCTCAACTGACATGTAAGGGGAACACATATGTAATGTGGACAATATTTAAACTTTCAAAATTGAATGTAGAGGGTCACATTACTATATTGATGCTCTCTCTCTAGTCAGGAGCAATTAATATTCTGAATGGTCCCACAATCTAAGCATCAACATCTAGTTCCATGAAATAGCCCACGTTATGGTCTCCTTTAAATATGTCATTGATCAGTAAAATGATGAATAGTTCGGATTTACATAAGCGAAAGAATCGTTCACTTTTCCCACACCCCTTTGTGAATTTTGTAAGTGGACAAGACTGTTGAAATGTTGCTGGTGGACAAGACTGTTGGAATATTGTTGGACGTAATACAGGGGCGTGCCCGCGCCACAAAGTTGTCCAAAGTTTTGGTGTTGTTTAGAAAAAGACAACTTTCGGTTGTCGGACTTGACAGGTTCTGTGACGAGGTCTCCCAGAAAATGGTGGTGGACCACGTGATCTGATGCGCACTGACGTGCATCTTGGGATTCTTGGTTTTGATCGTGGTGAAAACTTGCAAAATGTGAGCTCTTTGGTGGAACACGGCTGTATGGCTGCGACTTGTGGTTGACATGCTGATGGTTGATCCTGTCTGTTGTACCGACCATCGGGCTTGATTGAGGAAAGTCCGGCATGCCATTGAAAGCTGGATTGTCAGAGTAATGTGAGTCAAACTGTCGGATAGGTGCATGAAAAGCAAAGACTTGATTATGAAAATACGGGCCATGCGGTGTAATATATTCTGGTAACAAATTATTTCTGAGACACTGACTTGTGGACGAAGGCGTTGGCAGTGGAGAAAAGAAGCTGTCCTGAGACGATTCTGAACAGGATTTAGGGGTAGAAGTATTTAAACTGGCAAAGTCTGAACAGGACTCGGGGGTAGAGGAACCCAGACTGGTGAAACCTGAACAGGATGTATTGCTTAGTGTTTCCAGACTGAAAAAATTAGGTTGCTGCTTACTTGGGCTAGTAACAAGAAAGTCCGTCGATGGCGTCCCACGAGCCGTGTCTATCGTCTCACAGTCACCCCAGTTGCCCACGTTCAGAATATCTTGCAGATCAGCTTGTCCGAGTATAGACTCGAGTGTGTCTGTGGGTAGAGAAGGCGATCTCGGAGGCGAAAGAAGCGAAAAGGGGTTTCCGTCGCAGAGCGATGAGTTTGTCGACAATGGAGAAGTAGCTATTTGGAGAAACGACATTTGCATGTCGTTTTTTCCCCTGGACGCTTTCATATCTACGCTGGTGTCATCGTCGATTGAAGACTTCGAGTCTAGGCCACCTTTACGATTCTGCCAAACGGCTGGCTCCACGAAAAAGGACGGTGGCAGTTTTCGGGATTTAAGGGTGAACTTAGGCTGCGGGGAAACTGAAAAATCTAAACTTTCGTCTTGCGTTTTGTCGTTTTGAATAAACTCTTGTTTCTTGAAGTTCGTTATGTCAAAAAGGGAGTCTAGAGACTGACTCTGTGATAACTTTGTGATTCGTTTTGTCGAAGTGACATTTGTGTGCCCGATTGTTTGTTGGGAATCTCCGGAATTCTTCACCCGCCTCTGCAGATACTTCCGATGGCTCTGCTTTCGTTTTGAGCCTGATGACTTTTCCAGCGCCATCTTGATCGTGTTTGCAGCCACGTCCATGAAGCTGAGAAGGTCAGCGGCATCCTGACCAAGTGTGACGTCGTCGTTGTGTCGGAGTCGGTATTTACCTCTTAACGCCATTCTTATTCAAAAAAAATTTACTGTTCTTTTGGACTTCGCCGCACTGCGTGTAATGAACTTACAGGTGTGAGTCTGCTACAAAACTGCACGCTTTTAATTCCTATGTTATCAAAGTATCCTAGTACGTCAACCGTTTTGTTCAGATTTAACATTCGATAGATTTATTTCTTTCAAACGTGTTTACGCCATCAAAAAGCCACGACGGCTAAGCAAGTACGCTTAAAAATGTACTCAAAGGCCAAGCGACCGAAATCTACCATGTTATAAAATCAGTCAACATCCGAAGGAGTTAATCCAGCGGGCAAACACTGTCCATGTTTGTGCTGGGCTGTACCAACAGAGGGACATTGGTGCCGACCTGTGCGCGATCAGATCTCAACGTGTCGCTGACCGTGGTCACGTCTCGCGTGATTTCATCGCCGAGTCTCTTGTGTGGAACTGAGGTTGAATGTTTACATCCAGGTATGTAAGCGCTAACCATCGATTGACACCTTACGTTTAGTGATGGTAAGGATTAATGACACAGCGTGCCACTGAATGACACGGTGTGCCGCTGAGTGACACGGTGTGCCGCTGAGTGACACGGTGCCGCTGGTGCCTTTGTCCCTTGTTCAGCTCATCTTCTGAAATAAATAGAATGTTTAGTATTAGGCCTTTAAAAAACAATCAAATTAGGTATTAAACCAGTGGTTCTCAAAACCAATGTACCGTTTCTGGCGTTGGTGGGACTTCCCGGGAAAAAGGGAGAGAGGACGGTGGAGACTAAAAGACGTTGCTGATGACAACCCCCCCACACACACACACACCACATATTCTTGCAAACATAAAACAACAATCAATACAAATTATATTTAAACGCCCAAGTCATTGAAAATCGACTTTAACCATCATCATTCAACACTGACTTTAAACACCATCATTCAACACTGTCTTTAAACACCATCATTCAACATTGTCTTTTAACACCATCATTCAACGCTGCCTTTAAACACCATCATTCAACACTGTCTTTAAACACCATCATTCAACGCTGTCTTTAAACACCATCATTCAACAGTGTCTTTAAACACCATCATTCAACATTGTCTTTTAACACCATCATTCAACGCTGCCTTTAAACACCATCATTCAACGCTGTCTTTAAACACCATCATTCAACAGTGTCTTTAAACACCATCATTCAACACTGTCTATAAACACCATCCTTCAACAATGTCATAAAAATGTACTTAAACACCGTCATTACTTCAGAGGGGCACAATATAAGCACAAGTGCTTTATATTCAACTATCAAGATATAACTCAGTTTATAAATTTTACTTCTTCGAACAGAAAAATGGGTTGGCTAAAGTTGGCTGAAGTTGGCTGAAGATTGCTTTTATTATGAAGAGGCGCATGGATGGGTAGCTTATGTAAGCTTTTGTTTCTTTTGTTTTCCTTAAAAAGAACACATTTTCTCAATTATTAACATTGATGATTCATATCAGTCCGAGTGCCGAGGACAAATGGCGCCGATGACAGTAACTAACATTACGCTCCTACTGAGTTAGAGAAATCTTTCATGGATGTACAATTTGGATTTAGAACCTCACGTGAATTTTGGAGGACTCCCTGACAATTTTAGGTTTTACAAATTTTATATATTTTTTTTAGTTTTGTTTGTTTTTTAAATTCTTTTCAGATTACAATTACAACTTGTGATCCCCTTCAATATTCGATGCTCTCTGCAGCCGCGGGTGTTGGCACACGATGGCTGGGGGCTGGGGGTGGGGGGTACTGTCTTTTTAAAATACGTACTTTAAATCCGAAGTCTTTCATATCCACTAATGACGTGTACCACGCTCGGGCGGAGCTAAGGCAGAGATAAAAGTCGCTCCCTTATTTAAATTCATGTAATGAACTGCCAGAAATATAAAAGATAAAACAAAAAACTTGTTGTTGTTTTTTTTAATTTGGGTGGGGTTTTTTTTTTGTTTTTTTTTTTAAAGTGGGGTAGGTGCGTGAGTATTCCATTAATTTGTCGGCAACAAGTGGCTTATGGTTAAGACGTTGGTAAAACAATGAGTATACTGCTGGTGAGAACTGCTGTAGAGCATGGTATAAATTTATGTTATGGGAGTAACCATGGTCACCAATATACATTTGAGGGGGGGGGGCGTCAATTTTAAAATACGTCCATTTTTAGGGGTCTCCTTCCACATTTAGGGGGTATGCGCCCCTGATAAGTGTCAATTTTTTCACATCAACAAAGTTGATAGGTTTTAATCATTTTTTTTTCCACATCACAAATTTGGGTCTACATGACGGCTCTGTTTAGGAGACACGGTTAAATCAAGGTACACACCGTCACAAATTTGGGTCTACATGACGGCTCTGTTTAGGAGACACGGTTAAATCAAGGTACACACCGTCACAAATTTGGGTCTACATGACGGCTCTGTTTAGGAGACACAGTTAAATCAAGGTACACACCGTCACAAATTTGGGTCTACATGACGGCTCTGTTTAGGAGACACGGTTAAATCAAGGTACACACCGTCACAAATTTGGGTCTACATGACGGCTCTGTTTAGGAGACACAGTTAAATCAAGGTACACACCGTCACAAATTTGGGTCTACATGACGGCTCTGTTTAGGAGACACAGTTAAATCAAGGTACACACCGTCACAAATTTGGGTCTACATGACGGCTCTGTTTAGGAGACACAGTTAAATCAAGGTACACACCGTCACAAATTTGGGTCTACATGACGGCTCTGTTTAGGAGACACGGTTAAATCAAGGTACACACCGTCACAAATTTGGGTCTACATGACGGCTCTGTTTAGGAGACACAGTTAAATCAAGGTACACACCGGAACTCGTAGTGGGCATACCTGGATTGCAACATTTCCTTATGGCACAGGTGTGCCAGGATGTGTGTCTAGACATCCATGTAAATACATCCATGTAAATACATCCATGTAAATGACTATTTGAGACCCGGACTTTGTCCGAAGACACGGTATTAAAAAAAAAACACCAATCACCAAGTGAGCAGGTTATATCAGAACAAAATTTTCGTACGATCTGCCAGCCTCAATTTATTGCCAAAAATTTAAAAAAAAACGGTGATGTCGGTTTTATTGTAATACTTACCGTGGTCTCTGATTAGAGAGACGATACCTAAAAGTCGCAGCGATCTACACAGACAGTCGGATCCAACGAAATCAGAGTATGCCCCTATAGCCTGGTCTTAAATTACAATCATAGTAAACTTTGGAATAATAAATTTAAAAAAAAAAAAAAAAATTAAACTTCGTAACACACAGCACAAACAAAAAAAGAATGACTTAAAGAAATCATTAGGAACAATGCGAGCCTTAGACCAGGAAGTATGCCCCTATAGCCTGGTCTTAAATTACAATCAAAGTAAACTTTGGAAAAAAAAATTTAAAAAAAAAAAAAAAAATTAAACTTCGTGACACACAGCACAAACAAAAACAGAATGACTTAAAGAGATCATTAGGAACAATGCGAGCCTTAGACCAGGACGAACTTCTAGAATGACTAAAATTGAAATGAACTCAGTTACTCACCTTCAGAACTGACCAGTCTGCTCTCTGCATTATGCCCGAGTCTCCTCCACCCCGTGAGATTAGCCAGATGTACTAATACAAATCTTGATTGTCAAAACGTTGGTACTACGTCAGATATCCACTGCATGGACTACGTCACATATCCTGTGCTTGGGTGCTCATGCAAAAAACAATACATTTATTCTTGATGTCCTTGTCAAACAATTTCACACCGAAATCGACAACACGGCCGCGGAGACAGTTTGATGAGACACGTTGGTTTGAAAAGTTGTATCGTATTTGAGAACGTTTATCCTTAGCCCAACTGTACCCGACCGAGACAGATTTAAACCGTGACCAGGTTCATTGACAAATCAGTACGCAAAGTTCCTCAGGTGGGTTTTTTCCTTTCTCTTAATGGTTGTAAAAAGTTGTTTCACTGTGACTTACAACAAAACACCGGCAGATAAATCGGTCCAGTGACTCCGGGGAGTCACCTCCACCTGTTTTGTACGCGCGACGTTTTGTCAAGCGGGGTGGCCATTTGGTGGTTTTGGTGTGAAGTTTGGTCCTTTGTGGGCGGGTCTTATGCGGTGGGGGGGGAAGGGGGGGGGTCCGATTGCACTGGCCCGTAGACTTGGGTTCACGTGGCCTATGTGTCCGCCCGTTAAATTCGACCACGGCACCTGTACGACTCTTTAGCGGTCTTGCGGCACCGGGATCGGCTAACTTTTTCAGTATTACTCCAAAATTTCATTTTCTTCCGTTTCCATAGGAAGAATATCATAAAGATTATTTAAATTTAAAACGGTTTATCGAATCTATTTATACGGAGAATACAATTATTAATATAAAAGCACACTCTAAATTCGATAGAATAAATTAATAAAGTCCTCATTATGGAGCAAAAGGGTTTCTATGAAAAAAGTGTTCATTTGAAATTTAATAGAAATAATGTGACATATTTATATTTGAAATGACAACAAACTTGGGCTTTTTTTTTAAATCAGATAAATTTGGAAACAAGTCTACGAGTTTTATCAACTGATTTCTATGTTGTTGTTTTTTTTTTTTATGTTCATTTGAGTGACAAAACATTTGAAGGGTTCAAGGGAAAAACCAGTGATGTCAGTTTTTCAAAATTTCGATGTTATCTCCCTTGTGGCTACATTCCATTTAATAGAATAATATAGTACATAGGTCCAACTGAAAAAGCAGCGTAGTCAATACATAAATACGTAGACATCTTGATATTTTCATACTTTTATGAGGAATTTTAAAACTTTTCAATTTTCTCAAAACTCTCAAAACCTGACATCACTGGTTTTTCCCTTGAGCCCTTCATTTGTTTCCAGGGGGAGGTAGTTGCATACGGCAGGATCTAC